CTATTTTTCTATTTTCCTTAATAATTGTCCTAGCAGACTATAATTACATTCGTTCGATTCCGTAGGCGACAAGGAACAATTTGTATATCTCAGAATTTCGGAAAAGTGCCTAATTTCCGAGAAATTAGAAATTTTATTTTTTCCTAGTTTCGCCGCTCGCCGCTAGATGGCGCCACCTGTACCGTTTTGGCCCGAATTCGACAAAAATTGATTTTCTGGCTTTATTGGGCACCAAAACGCATCAAACCCTAATAGAAATTTGTTTCTAAATGCCTCAGGAACCATATTACGTCGCCAAAGTGCCGAAATATTACACTTTGCATGCGCAGTAGAATTGACACAGGTGGCTCATGTACGTATCGGAATGCTGACACAAAATAATTAATTACTCGTTATCCGGACATTTTTTATGAACTTTTATGATCGAACCATGTAAATAATGCACTGCTGACCATTCTTCAATCATAAAAGTGCACAAAATATATCCACAAAACGTGTAACTAATTATTCAAAATGACCTCGTATATACCGCTTGTCACCGTGGCTGGCCTTAGGTTATTAGTTAATAACTAATTAATTTCATTGAAAATCTGAACAAATACGATACGAGAAAGTAGCTGGGGGATCACTGAACATTTTTTTATAATAAAAGTGCATAAATTATGTTTAAAAAATGTGTTACTAATTATTTCAAATTAGCTCATGCGTACGACGTATTCCGCCGACTTCGTGTTGGATAATAATTAATAACTAATTATTTACAATAAAAATCCGAACATACGTGATATGAGAAAGTAGCTAGGGAATCACTGAACATTCTTTAATCATAAAAGTTCATAGATAGTGCTCAGAAAGTGAGTAATTAACTATTTTGCATACTCATTACCGTGTAGACATATGTAAATATTATAAGTAAAATGACAACTTAAATTCTAATCGTAGCCCTCAGCTCGATATAGTTTTCTAAAGACTTAAAAATCTTTAGAGAACTATACCGATTACCGGGTCACACCACGTGGAGGTGGCTACGATAGTGACCCACCCTAACTCCAAATCCCTTCCTCCCTCCAAATGCAACCTCATTTATCAGAAGGATAAATGAGTCCTCACTCTACATACAAGTTCTTTACCACAATCCAGTAAAGAACTTGTATTACACACACACACACACAT